TGTACAAATGTGCTTTACACAATTGATGTATGTATGCGTTGTGATGAGTTGCGTGAGCCCCTAATAAAATGATTTTTAAAAACTGCTTGATGTGATTTAACTATGGATTGATATATGTATTAGCTCCCAATAAATAATAAATTAAGATGAGAAGGTGTGTTGCATTGGATAAAAAATGATAAGTTTTTAAAAGAATCCCTGGTGGAACTGTGGGTGAGGCACTGGACTGCTAACCACAGGGCAATCGTTCAATCCCACCAACCACTTCACACGCCTGTGAAGATGTACTATCTCAGAAACGTAAGGTCTGAATTGACTTTACAGCTGGAGTGTGGTTGGAAATACCCTAAATGTTTAGTGTATGTGTTGCAACTGCCTGATGTGTCCAGGGGCTCTTGGTCTCTCTCGAGAACCAAAGAATGGACTCACAGAACACAATATGGCAATCAGAAATCAGAGCTTATTTGGAAAGGAACGCAAAGCACCTGACACTACAGGTGGGAACTCAAGTGGGTGGCAGCTGGGTGAACTGTATCTAGGCGGTTGTAATCAGGTGTGGGGTACTTGGCCTGTCTCCAGGTTATGAACGGACCAATCCCAGGGCTGATCGTATTCCTCAGGTCCAAGCATAAAACCTGGTCAGGCTTGCCCCCTCGGCTGGGTCTTGCCCCGACAGGGGCAGAGAAGTAAGCATGAAAATTCAGCAAAGAGTGTTGGGTTTTGTGGCCTTGGAGTTTAGAATCAGCCTACGGGTCTTGTGCCTGCAGGCTTCAAATGAGATTGTCTCAGACTGTTGAGATTCCCTTCCAGATTTCCCAATGATTCCCGCCACCGCCCCGTTTCCCTCACTCTGCCTGCAGGCTCTCTATCGTCAATCTCTCATGTGTTTCTATGATTTGTGCGCTTATTGTTTTAAAATATTAAATGAGATATAGTAGAAAGTTTCTAGCCCATAATAAACTTCCTTGAACTTTTGATTCTCCTCCCTCCACCACAAGTGATACATATCTTGCATTCAAAACATGGTCAATGGAAGCCAGCAAAGTGTCATTTGAAAATACAACATGAAAGACAGGGGAGAGAAGGCACCAGAAAGCACAAAGCGAAAAGCAAGGCAAAGGCAGAGAAGTCGGCACATCAACAAAAATGAACAAACAAAACCAGCTACTTTTGTGTCAAATCTAACTCATGATGGTCCCTTGAGAGTCACAGTAGTATTCCTGTCCAGAGGATTTTCTACGGCTGATTTTTCTGAAATAGATCACCAGGTACCCGTGGGGACTCGAATTTCCATTCTTTCATTTAGCAGCCACGTAAGGGAAAGTTGTCTGTTTGCTTGTTTTTGTTGTACCTAAATCTTGAAATCAAGGACGGCAGTTGCAAAGTAAAGAAACGAACTCTTCCAATGAGTACATTTAAAGTCTTACTGAGCTTCTATTGTGAGCTGATCCGTTTATTTGCCATATATCATTTAATTCTCTGAGTAGCTGTATTATTACCCTTATTGTACAGCATGGACATTGAGGTTCTGAGAGGTGGAAATAGTGGTCAAAGTCTTGCATCTGACCAGAAATGAAAAAGCCAATCAAACGTAAAGCTGCGTTTCTTTCTACTATTTAAGGACAGACCATACAAAAGAAACAAAGCAACATGTAAAGGCACACTCAAAAGAGAGGGGGAAGGGGGGAAGGAAAAGAAAGAGTCTGCACAGTATGTGTGTAAAATGAAGGCCCCGGTGCTCATTTACTCGCTGCAGAGACCAGATAGCTACGAAGAGGTTTTTTTGCACAAAGTGCCAAACCTCCCAAAGCCTAGAAAGGCTCCAGCGCAGAAAGGGGGCGGGGCCAGCGGCAGCTTCCGGTTCCGGCCGTAAATGCCCCACGTGTTCCGACTCGCTGGGCACCGCGCAGCCCGGATCCAGCGGCGCAGCTTCGGCCGGCGGAGAAGCGGCCCAGGCGGTCGGAGCCGTGAGTGCTGGAAGGACCGGCCCGGGCAGGGCTGGGTTGGGCAGGGGAGGAGGAAGAGGGTCTGGAGACCCGGCCCCCTGAGAGCCTCCGGGAAGCTGCCGTCCTGGGAAAGGTGGCGGCGGCGGCCTTGTAGTTAGAGGCCCGCGGCGTCGTGGTCTCCATGTCTACTGGTAGCGGGAGTCAGAAATTCCGGGGACCCGGCTGCGCTCGAGGCTTCCTCCCCTTCCTCCCCTTCCCTGCCTCCGCCCTCCACCCCCTTGAAGCCTTCAGAGACGCAGTTAACTCGGGCTGCCACTTACTTCCGCCCCTTCTGCCCACAGGGACGAGGGAGGAGTGGTCCAGGCCCCCATATTTCCCGCCGCGCAACATAGATTGCCCATAGATTGCCCGCCAGTCCCACCGAGTACACTTCGTCAGCCCCGAGTCTTCCCCCACCAACTCTAATGCACACCCCGGTACGTCCGCCCGCGGTTGCCCGCCGGTGGCTGTTCCAGCTGACAGACCCCAGCTTCCCCTCTAGCCAGTGGCTGCTGTCTGCACTGGCATCGCCCCGCCCCTGTTCCCTGTGTTGTCATTCTGTCTGAATGTCGCCGGTCCCCGCAGCAGGAGGGTGAAGCCCCCTGCTTCTGTCTTCACTAGTTATTTTGTTTGCCGTGGCTCTGCTGTGTGTCCTGTTTTTATTTCTCTGGGTGTTGGGCGTTCTCATCTCCTCGTTGCTTAATTAACTTTGTCTGCCATGGTTTCTGTATCAGGGACGCTGAGACTCAGCATTTCTTGAGCCATCTTGGTTTTGTAGAGCAGTGTCACATCCAGTCGGTCACTTAAAGGCCAAAGCATAGAAGTGTTGTGTTTTCTTTGTTGGCAGTCTGCAGGTGACACCCAGGGCAGCTTCACACAGAAGCCCCAAGGAATGGTAGTGGAATCCTTCATCTCGGCTCCCAGTCTATCTTCCAAGTGGCTGCATAGACCTTGATGCGGAAAGCCACTTTCAGAAGGTTGTGGCCTAGCCGTGGGAGACTTGTAGTGGGAAGTGTAGGGCAGAGCAGGTAGTTTGTGGCCATTTGTCTTGGGTCACTTTCTGCAGTACTATCTACAAGAAGAGAGGAGGCAGTTGTGTGGAGAGAAGGCAGTTCATTCTCCCAGGACCACACACCTGGGATTCATGGTGTTTCCCCCCTTTCTTCAACAGCTGTGCACACCTTTGCACTTTATATACTGTACTAGAGTAAAAAGTCATGTCGGTTTATATACTGCAGTAGGGTAAAAAGTCATGGGGGGAGGGCACAGCAAGGTTTACTGCAATGTGAGGGACGCTGTGTTCTCAAAGCGTAGGTGATTCAGGCATGCTGTCTTAAGGAAACCAATTCCTGAGACAGACAGAAGGGAGTGTGAGAATTTATTGAGTATTAGTATCCAGGAAGGAGTCCTGGTGGTGTAGTGTGTGCCAGTGGAGCTGCAATCTACAAGGTGCAGTTTGAAACCACCAGCGACTCCTTGGGAGAAAAAAATGGGACTTTCTACACCATGAACAGTTGCAGTCTCAGAAACTCACAGGGGCAGATCTACCCTGCCCTATAGGGTCACTTTGAGTCTGCATAGACTTGATGTCAATGAGTTTGAGTTTTAGTGTAGTGTCCAGGAAGACATGACTCGGTCCATCAAAATTTGCTTCCTAGAGCAATAGGTGAAGGAGTATTTTATAGACAGTGCATTGGGAGCCAGGGAGGCATGTCTCCCGAAGCACTCTGGATTATGAGTTAAGACTCTGCTTCTCAGATTGTTCTCTTTGCTTGGAGGAACGCATCCAAATGCATCGGTGTTGTTAGCTGAGCTCTGCCTTCAGGTAGAAATAGACTAATCTTAACTTCTAAATGGAAGGCAGCAAAGGTTTGTCAGTCCATCTGGAATTTTAACAGGACGGCAAGTGGAAACAAAAGGAAACCCGAAGTTGAGACACAGTGCAGCATCCCTGAGGCATGACACATTATTCAGATGAGGCCAATCACAGATTTATAACATTGTTTTCTTTCTCTGTTCCTTTGTCACAGGCCTAAAACACAAGACAACCCTAGACTGTCTCTGCTTTTACTGCTCTCACCCTAGCAAACCCTTTTGCTTCTGGGTCTGTGCTGACTCAGAATGACCCTGTAGAACAGAGTAGAAGTGCCACTTCTTTCTTCAGCTAAGCAGCTGGTGATTTTGAGCCAGGACCTTGAACAGATCCATTCCTCCAGTTCATGCACTTGCCAGAATGTTCATTTCCACCTCAGATAAGCTGAATCAGACCCTACAGTTTAACAAGATCTTCAGGTGATTCTCTTGTATGTGAGAATACTGTTAAAATGCAAATCTTGCTAAAATTGTGGATTCTGAGTATGTGCACAACATAAGCACTAGAAGGGTTTGAAGACCTCTGTACTTGCTTGATACTTTGTGGCCTATTCCCAGGGTGTTTTAGAATTTTCCAGTATTGGTTTTGAGAATTTGTGCTTGAGACAAACTCTTCACTTTGAGAACTACCTTTCCTCAAACCTCTTGCTATTGACACTGCAGTGGTTTGGAAACCAGTACCTGTATTTGAGTATTTTTATGCTGGAAACGGGCAATTCAAGGAGACTTCAAAATGTTTGTGGAAAAATATAAACTATTTCTCAACCCAAGTTCCATCAAGTCCAATACACTTATACAGGTGATGGTACCTGCCATTCCTAAAGACCTAAGGCTCTCGAGAAGTTAGCCACGTCAATGCAGTTGTATTTACAAGATTGATTCAGGAAAAGTGGATCCCCTTAAACGATTTTTTTTTTAAGATTAGGAAACAGGTCAGAAAAAGGCAAATCAGTACTGCAAAGTGGATGCCTAATGATTTCTCAACTGAGATGTCCCAAAATTGCCCATTTGATTAGTAGGGACATTGTTGTGGTAGAAAAGGGAGTGTGGTATATCTTTCCTGGGAGTCTTACTGCTAAAGCTTTATCTAACTTTTCATAACACGCTCATAATAAGCAGATGTTAAACAAAACAAAACACTGCCATCGAGTCAATTTTAAGTCACTTAACTCCCTAAGGCAACAAGCAAAATGCCTTGCCCTCAAACAAACTCGCTGCTACTGAGTTGACTTCAATTTACATTGATCCTATAGGATAGTAGAACTGCCCCTATGGGTTTCCAAGACTGTGAATCTCTATGGGAGGAGAAATCTTTCTTTCTCCCACAGAGGGATTGATGGTGTCTTACCTGCTGACCTTGGAGTTAGCACCCCAATGCACAACCCACTATGCCACCAGAACTTGAGCATCCCAAACAACTGTAGCAGGCCTTTTGCTCCATACTGATTTTGCTTTGACTGGACCACTTCCACCTCTTTATAGGCATTGCTTTGATTGTGCCTTGTCTTTAGGATCATGCTGGTAAAGTGATGTTTCACTTCCTGTTAACACAAGAAATGCTCCAGGATCTTGATTCCACTTCTTTAACATTTCCCAGGAAAGCTCATCTCTTCTCTGCACTTGATGTGGACAAGACAGTTTTGGCAACCATCCAGTGGAAAGTTTGCTCAACTCTTAATTTTTCAGTCAGAATTTTATTAATTGAATCAATTCTGTCATTTCAGCCACTATTTCAGCTGTTAATTATTGGTCCTCCTCAATTAGACATGTACTAAATAAATCATCTCTTCAAATTAGAGTAGAAAGTCTGCTGCTGCCCTGATCACTTCCGCATCACCTTATCTCTTCTTAAAACAAGTTATTCATTTGTGAAGTACTGATTTCTTTGGGGCATTGTCCCCATAAACTTTTGGGGGTATTTTTGTTTTTTTAAATCATTTTATTGAGGTTGTCTTACTGCTCGTACAACTCTTATCACAATCCATACATCTATCCATTGTGCCAAGCACATTTGTACATTGGTTGCCCTAATCATTCTCAAAACATTTGCTTTCTACTTGAGCCCTTGATATCAGCTCCTCATTTTTCCCCTCCCTCCCCACTCCCCCTTCCCTCATGAAGCCTTGATAATTTATAAATTATTATTTTGTCCTATCTTACACTGTCCGACATCTCCCTTCACCCACTTTTCTGTTGTCCATCCCCCAGGGAGGAGGTTATATGTAGATCCTTGTAATCAGTTCCCCCTTTCTACCCCACCCTCCCGATATCGTCACTCTCACCACTGGTTCTGAAGGGATCATCTGTCCTGGATTCCTTGTGTTTCCAGTTCCTATCTGTACCAGTGTACATCCTCTGGTCTAGCCAGATTTGTAAGGTAGAATTGAGATCATGATAGTGGTGGGGGGTGGGGAAGGGGAAGCATTTAAGAACTAAAGGAAAGTTATATGTTTCATTATTGACCGGCTCGTCTCCTCCCTAGGACCGTTCTGTAAGGGGATGTCCAGATGACTACAGGTGGGCTTTGGGTCCCCAATCTGCACTCTCCCTCATTCACAATGATAATGATTTTTTGTTCTTTGATGCCTGATAGCTGATCCCTTCGAAACCTTGTGATCACACAGGCTGGTGTGCTTCTTCCATGTGGGCTTTGTTACTTCTGAGCTAGATGGCCGCTTGTTTACCTCCAAGTCTTTAAGACCCCAGACGCTATATCTTTTGATAGCAGGACGCCATCCGCTTTCTTCACCATGTTTGCTTATGTACCCATTTTTCATCAGCAATCGTGTTGGGAAAGTGAGCATCATAGAATGCCAGTTTAATAGAACAAAGTATTCTTGAATTGAGGGAGTCCCATAAACTTTTTATGAAACATTGGTGATTTCACCTTCATCCAACTAAGCTCATTATAAGTATGATGCTTGTTCTTGCTTCAGTGTTAGCTGAACTTATGTTGCTCTGATAGGGACTCTTCAAACTAATGGTTTATCCTTCTTAGTGCCTCAAACTAGATGTTCAGACATACTGTATAACAAGTTAGTACAAGTTAACATGGGTATAAGAAAATTGTGAAATCACAATTTCATGATACTCGTTTCTGTGACTTTTAAAAGACCCCCTTTAAAAAAATTCCCCCTTATGTACTCTTGAGTGGAATATTTAATCTCGTAGGTCTGAGTTCTTTCATTTGTAAAATTAAAGAGGCATGCCCCCCCCAAAAAAAGCTGAATATGACATTATCCTCTGACAAATTTAAGATTCCCACTTGAGAAAATGTCCCGTGTTTTTCTTCCTTCTTTTGATATGAGCTTCCTATTGTGATCATGTTCTAGGTTCCACTGTAGACTAGATGTCCTTTTTTTTTTCTTTCCATCTTGACTCTGAAACCTGTACTCATTCATTGCCATTGAGTCAATTCTGACTCATAGCGACCCTGTAGACAGACCTGCCCCTGTGTGTTTCTGAGACTATAATGCTACAGAAATAGGAAGCCTTATCATTCTCCTGCAGAGTGGCTCATGGTTTCAAACTGGCGTCCTTGAAGTTAGCAGCCCAACACGTAACC